CTGCCACCGCACACCAAAAATCACCCCGCCCCCAGAACAACGAGGTCAGCCTAAAAATCCAGAAACCCTTAAAAATAGACATGTACGCTTCAGTTTCCTAATCTTCACGGGAACACACAACTGCCTGACATTCCCCTGCTTCCCACATCCACAGATTTGCGGTTTTCCTGCAGAAAATGGCCGTAAACTTCCCTTTCAAAGCCAAAGTTCCCGTTCTCGCCCGGCTGCGTAACTGCTGCGTGTGGAGGCTCCAAGAACATCTCCACACGGGCCAGCAGCCCGAAGGAACAGCCAGGGGATTCAGAGTTCAGTCTTGCCCAAGTTTTGACTGACTGACTGACTTCCCACAGCAGGAGCAATCAGATCTCCCAGCCCGGAGATGGCAGTGACTCGGGGAGGCTCAGCTGCGCTCTGCCAGCAGCCTGTGGGACACGTCTGTGCTTCTGCAGTGCACTTACCTGCTCCTTCGTCACATTCATGACTTGTAGCTGGAAGAAGCTAAAGGAGAGCTGCCCTGAGGAGCAGGCTCTCAGCCAGGCGGGTGGTGGGCGGTTGCTTCAGGGGCACAAACCTCTCCTGGGGCACCAGTAACGGGCCCTGCTCCCTGCCAGGATGGGGTTTTGCCTGGAAAACCGCAGAGGTCCCAGGTCTGGCACCTGCCATGGTGCTCAGCAAACACAACCACAGCCATGCCCATAGCCATGCTGCATGACTCTGGTGCTCTCTGATGAAGTCATTTAGTAACCAAGTAATTAAGATACAGCAGATCCTGCCTTGTGGCAAGAGACTTGATAGCTTTTTTGCACTACCTGTTTGCACTATTTTCTGCTCTTTTCAGCCCAAAGAGCCCTTATGTTCTGCATGATAGTGTCAACCACAGGGGTCTAATCTTGCCCTTGGTGAACCACAGTGTTGTTGTCTTTGGATTTGCAGGGTCTCTTTATGCCTCAGAGAAGAAAAAAAATTATCAAGCCAGCCAGGCTTTAGAAAGAGGCCATTCCTTCACGACTTCTTTTTGGACTGGTTTGTTGGGTTTTTTTACATTACTAAGATATATGGAAAACCAGAGTAACATTATAGTGTTACCTCATCTTCTGGGACACTTCTGGCTGGGAAAAGTGTTGGGTTTTCAACTTCAAGTTAGCTTGCTTCTGTGCTTTTCCATCTGACAGATTATTTTAATGACGGGGTAGCCTTGATTAAATTAATTCCTCCCTACAAAAGCAGCTGTCTTGTGTCAAGGAATCTGTTCAACTATCTGGAACGTTTATACTTGCCAAGGAGAGCTAAAGCAGGGAGTTAGCAAAGGGAATGCCTGGCCATCCTGAAACAGCAACGGCTTTCTCAGGACTGGGAAGCATGAAGCTTCAGCTTAGAGGAATGTCTGGGATCCCTCTCCCTGCCCTGGGGGTGCTGGGGTGACCCCTCGAGTGCTCCCACTGCTGGGGGGTCGGTTGGGAATGGAGGGGAAGAAACCAAAGTAATAAGAGTGACAGAGCAGTGCCAGCCTGGTGAGTGAGCTCACTGCCCATGCTTTATCTGACATGTTTATCTCTAACCCAAAGAGATTTAATTTCAATCTCGGCTCCAAGCTCCCCGGGTCTCAAACAGCTACTCGTTTCCCCCCCTTTTGACAGTCCTTTTGCAATGTTACCCTCCCCTCCCTCGTACCGGGTGTCCTTAAGCACCGTGCACATGCAAACCCTGCTGAAACCAGAGCTGCCTGCCACGTCTGCAGGGAGTTTGCTTTACAAAGACAAGCCTTGGAAAAACAACGGACTTGCCTTTTTTATTTTTAAAATACATGTTTTCGGTCTCACAGTATAACCATAGGCTGCACGTTCAAATTACCTTCCTTTTCGAAGCACAAATGTGACTACAATGTTTTTCCTACTCATTTCTTTCCCTCCCAACGTTCATATGCACTGCAGTGGGTTTGAGCCCTTTATTTTATGAAACCTCTTGTGTGGTGATTCAGGAATCTTGTGCATTGCTGTTGAATTCATTAATACTAGAGATTAAGAGAGCTGCAACATACTGACCAGCTTGGGCTTTTTCCCCTTTCCCTCCAGTGCCAGTACCCTGCGTTCTCACAGCTGATGCCCACGCGTGACAACTGACCCTGCAGCTCTCTAACCTGCCCACGCCTGAGGGTGCAGCAGACCCACGCGGTGCACACGGGGCACCCACCGTGCCACGCTGTCCCAATTTACGGGCTGCACAGCATCCCTTGAAGGGAGGACCCTGGCACAGGGAATCGAGCCTCCTGGGTGGGGCAGTGGGTGCCTGTAGGTGACAAGGTGACCCTGCAAGGCTGCCGGCAGCGGTGGGATGGCAGAGAGAACAGCTTCTGCGGGCAATTCACCAGGTTTGACCTTCACACAGCACCCTGGGGGGCACTCAGGGGTCTCTGAGCCAGGTTAACCCACAGCCAGACAGACCTGGCCAGGTGCGGTGAGGCTGCCCTGCTGCTGCCCACCTGAGCGCTGCCCGGGCTGGCGCGGGGCCACGGCTT